ACTTACAAAAACGTGCAAGTGTTGCAAGAAACAACGACAACGTGTACAAGTTCATAAATACAGCCAAAAAACCCAGCTGTATTAGGTTTTTTGTGAATTTTGAATTTTAGTCTTCATTTTGTTTAAAAAAGCAGGAGCTCATGGGGCATGGGCTCCTGAAAAAAGTTAATTTCTACTTTATTTTCTCGGAAAAATTAATTTTTCGGGGAAAATGCCACTAAAATGCTCGAATAATGCTCCATGCTTTTGCCTCACTAAAATGCTCGAAAAAATGCTAGCATAATGTACAAAAGCCTAGCTTGGGGAGTTTAACTTTGAAAGTGGCATGAAGAAGAAATTAAAATGGCCCTGGATATCGTAATTTTGGGGTGCACAGACACAGCCCCGCACCAGGAGGACGCGAATGATTTTGTGTTACGATTTACGAAAGTCTGGGTACCAACTTGTTCTCATCCCTGGCATGAAAGCTGGGTGATGAACTAAGTCTTTCCATGAGAAGTAAGCAAACGTTGTGGCGATGTGATGGGCTCCACGACTCCCGAATGTGATCTGGCTAAAACGTCCAGTTGGTATGCCAGGTATGCCAAACCTGTGCCGGCAACGAGAGAGGCTTGGGGCTTAATTTCCTTTCATCAAGAGACCTGGGTGTAAGGTGCAAGTGTAAAATTTTTTCTATCATTCGTTTTTGCTTTAATTGCGTACTCAAATTAAGCTTATAGTTTCTGTCGCCCTAACTTTTGTTTCTTTGCCAGGTTTTGGTGTTCAGCTATCTGAGCTATTTTTCGTCCCCTTGTTGGCTAGTAGTCTCTTTACATTTTCATCTTCAGACAGACAGACAGACATATAGACAGCCTTTAATTTAGCCAGTGATTTTAAAAGCTATGCATCTTATAGGGTCGTGGATAAAAACTAATGGATTTTTGCTTTATATATGTATTATTTTATTGTGTTCTATTCTGATAGATTTTCGATTCACAATTTTTGAGACTGAGGACTGAGACTGACTCTATATACATGTAGTAATTTTTGAGATTTTAGGGGATTTTATAATTAAAATCTTTACGTCTAAAGTTTGTAGTTGTTGCAGAAGTCTCTTTAAAAGTCAACTCGTAAAAAATGTCCATTGAACAGGTTTTCCTCTTCAGGTCTTTATAACTATGTTTGAAAGATTATTGTTCTTAAAAATTAAAGCATTCCATAGTAAGGGACCTCTATAAGCGAATTTTTACCATATACAGAGCTGAAGCGAGGCACCGTTAGAGAGTGTTTTCATTAACGCCTTTTGTCAGTTTCTTTAATTACTTTGCTTTTCTGCATATTCAACATATTCTACCATCATTTATATCATAGTTTCTTCAGTACATTTTGTTCAGTTCATTTTGGTCCACGCTAAGCGCAGTTCGTTGCAGTTTCTTGCAAGTCTCTGGCCGAATCACAATTCTCCATTTGTTGCAGTTTCTTTTATTTCTCGATTCTGATTTTCCTTAGTCGCAACTTGCAATATTTTTCTCTTTTACTGTTTTAATTTCAACCCACGCTGTTTGTATCCACACTGTGACATACCAGGCATCTTATTTTAAGTACCAGGCACGTCCGTGTTACCAAAAAATCTTCGTTCGAATTTTGTTTGTGGTGTTGTTATTAAAGACCAAGAGACTTTTACGCCAATTGCTGTTTCATCGTTGAAAATTAATCAGGATCGTTTTGTCATGAGGTTTCGCCGCAAGCAGCTTACAGAGCCCGTCGCCCGGCGAGTTGGAACACGCGTGCTAAAACTGAACCGTTCGCTGGATTTTGAAGCTGCTAACCTTGAAACACTTCGTTCAAAGAAAAATTCAAGATCGGATCGCCTATCTGCAGTTACCGCCATCTCAAACAAGATTTCTGATTTGTTGTCTGACGACCGCAATTTACTGGGGGTAAAAGATAAGCTTTCTGATCTGGACTACGCCTTCGAAAGTTTTAGAGAGGTCATCACGACTATGTCTATGTCATCGAAGTTTGGGATACAAATGCCATAGCTGAGGGCCAAACTTCTCTCAGTTAGCTGAGCTGTAACGCCGGTTTCTGCAAGTGCCACGAAGGTTTCAAAGCGTTCAAGTCGAGC